ACCACACTGTCTTGTAGATGTTGATGTAGTGGACGAAGAGGGCGACGAGGTGGCAGAAGAAGAGCTGCAGCTCGAACAGGACGCTCCTCTCCACGGGCAGCTCGGGGATCTTGCAGTGCCGCAGGGGAACCACTGTCTGAGCTGCCAGAGGGGGGCTGGACAGGCCTGTCCCTGAGCCACTCCTGCCAGGGGAAGCCAAGAGCCAGGGGTGAACAGGGGAATGTCCTCCAGCTCCCCCCTCCACAGGTCTCAGATTGATTGGGGAACTCAAGTTATCACTGGCTGGCACAAATCACAAATTTCAGGCAGATATTTGGACCCAGGACATTTGATATTAAATCTTCTGTGTTGTTCAAACCCAGGGTTGTGTTGTGCTACTCAGTGGCTGCCTTAATTAATTGGAAGCTTTCAGAGCTCAAGTTGATGTTTACATATCTAAGAGTGCTTGAACATGAAAGGCAGAGCAATTACACACAAGCCCTTGTTCATTCTTCACCTTCTGTTCACCTGAGGAGGAAAAACGAGTTTAGCCAGAGGTGCCTCTTGCTGTGTGAGCACGAACACAATCCCAGACTGACCCCCCTGGATCAAGGGGAATGAATATCTCCCAGATTGAGCTGCAATCCCTAAATAACAACAGGCAAAGGAATCTGGGTGTGGGCCTCAAAGGAACTGCAGAGCACAAAGTGTAAATCCCCAAATGAAATCTCAATCCTGGAGTGTGGCTGTGGATCCAGGGGGATCAGGCCATGGTTTCAAACAGGAGATGGAGAACCTAAAATAAGGCACTGAGAGAGGGAAAACCTGAGGAGCCTGAGCTGTCTCTCTGAAATGCCCAAATTCCCAAAGTCACGGTGATTGAGAGCCTTAGCATTGGCAAATCATGGAATCACAGAATGCTCTGGGCTGGAAGGGGCATCAAGGATCATCCAGGGCATGGGCAGGGACACCTTTCCCTATCCCAGGTGGCTCCGAGCTCCATCCAATCCAGGCTTGGACACTTTGAGGGATGCAGCAGCCACAGCTTCTCTGGGAATTCCATTCCAGCCCCTCCCCACCCTCCCAGGGGAGGATTTCTCCCTAAAATCCCATCTGGCAGTGGCAAGCCATTCCCTGTGTCCTGTCACTTCACAGCCTGGCACAAAGCAGAGCTCTCCATGCCTTGGAGGTGAGCTGGGTGTGGATCTGTGCATTCCCTGCCTGGAATAAGGCCCTGGGTTTTTGCTTTTCCCAGGAAAGGTGGATTGCTCCACCTCCTGTGGCCTTGCAATGACATGTCTGGATAACTGTATCCTTAGAAATTCCTGTCTCAGGGCCCTCAGCTGAGGCAGACTGAACATTTTCTTTGCAGAGTAAATAAAGAACCTCCTGTTTATGCTGTTGCTCCTTGGTTTCTCCCTCCTCTGCCCCAGTGACAGAATCCAGCTGATCCTAGAAAACCCCACAGAGCCACATCACCTGATACCAACCTCAGGGCACTGCAGGTGCAACAACCCCAGCTGGGCTCTGGATATAAAATTGTTTCTATTTTTATTTCTCATTCCCTGGTCACTGAAGGGTTTTGAACTTTCCTGGGAACCTGTCCTGAAGAGTCTCAGGGACACTCATCCTAATGCCAAGGGGTGGTATGGACAAATCAGGATACAGGAAAAGGGAACTGGGAGCTAACAGGAAAGTGGAATGGTTTCCCAGTCCCAGAGGGCTGGGCTTCATGGGATATTGAAACCAAATTCCTCCCTCTGAGGGTGGGGAGGAGCTGGAATGGAACTCCCAGAGAAGCCCTGGCTGCTCCATCCCTGGAAGTGTCCAGGGCTGGGCTGGACTGGGGTTGGAATAACCTGGGATAGGGAAAGGTGGGGAAATGGGATGAGCTTTAAGGTCAGGGAATGGGATGAGCTTTAAAATCAAGGAATGGGAAGTTTTAAGATCAGGGAATGGGATGAGCTTTAAAATAAAGGAATGGGAAGTTTTACTGTCAGGGAATAGGATGAGTTTAAAGATCGAAGAATGGGAAGTTTTACTATCAGGGATGGGATGAGTTTTAAGATCAGGGAATGGGATGAGTTTTAAGGTCAAGGAATGGCATGAGTTTTAAGATCAGGGAATGGGATGAGCTTTAAGGTCAAGGAATGGGAAGTTTTAAGATCAGGGAATGGGATGAGCTTTAAAATAAAGGAATGGGAAGTTTTACTGTCAGGGAATGGGATGAGCTTTAAGGTCAAGGAATGAGATGAGTTTTAAGATCAGGGAATGGGACGAGTTTTAAGAACAGGGAATGGGACGAGTTCTGAGGTCAGGGAATGGGACAGGCTTTAGGATCAGGGAATGGGATGAGCTCCAAGGTCCTCCCCAGCCATCCCACTCCACGCCAGAGGCATCCCCAGCTGTCCCCGGTACCTGGTCCGGGAGCGCACGCCGGTGACGGAGGAGCCCGAGGAGTGTCCGGAGGCTCCGGCAGCTCCGGGCTCGCACAGGGGGTTCCGGCAGTAGGAGGTTCTGTTGGGACCCCGGCGTCCCCCGGCCATTCCCAGGAGTTTGGGGAATTCCTGGCTGCTCACTGTGGGCTGGGCTCAGCCCTCACCACTGCAGGGAGACATTGAGCATGTATTAATTATAATTTCTTAATTGTTATTTCTCATTGAGCGTTCCAGGCCTCTCCATCACCACCCCATTGCTCCAGGATAATTCAAATTTCTCCAGACATTTTTTCCCTGTCTGCCACATTTCCCCAGGCCATGGATGCAACCCCAAGGAGCCCCAGCCTTGCTGAGGTGCTGGGAATTCATCACTTTAAAAGGAATTCCATCTGCATCCCTGTGGTGTCATCCCTGTTTTCCAGACTCCACAGAAACTCAACATTTGGCCCCAATAATTCTGAAAATTGGGATATTTTGGTATCATCTTGTGTTGGAACTGAAGGCTACAGCTCTTTAAAATGATTATTTTCTTTTTGGCTCTTTAAGATGGGAAAATACACCACATTTTTAGGGTACTTGTTGTTTTATGTTTTGATGGCACTGAGATCAATGGGGTCAGCCCAAATTCAGCTTTTCCAGTGCTTGTTTGCCATACACAAAACTCATCCCGAGGTTTTTCAAGCTTTCTCTGGATGCTGTTAACCTCAGGAGAATCCACACAAGTGATAAAAAAACCCCATTTCCAAGAGAAATCTGAGCTGTGAGGGAAACTCAGGGCAGATCAATGACTGCACATTTCTTTTCCTGGTGGATCATTTCCAGCTTGCACTGCTTCGGAATTTGCATCTGGAGGAACAAAATATGTGCTGAAGCTTTAGAAACTGATCTCAAAGGAGTTTTAAAATTGATGCTGAGCTCGGGAGTTCTCCAAAAACTCCTTCCTAGAGCTGGATCTTGTTTTGGGGAGCTGCTGGGATCGTTTTTGGGAACTGCAGAAGCTCTGGGAGCTCCGAGGAGGCTCTGAAGAAGCAGTGGAAACTGTGAGGGCACAGACTGGGGGGAATTTGGAGTCCGAAGAAGAGCAGGAAGGAACCACGAAGGCTCCAAGAGGGAAATTGGAAATGTGGGGGAACAGTGGGGGTTGTAAACGGAAATTTGGGGGTAAAACTTGGGGTCAAAGGAGCTGTAAAAGGGAAATGTGGGCCACAAACGGGGGCTGCAGGAAAACACTGAGGACCACAGGGGCTCTGAGGGAGCTGTGAGAGAGAAATCTGGGGGCACGAGTGGGGCTGAACACAAGCTGAGAGAGCCCGGGGAGCTCTGAGGGCCGGGGGGTCCGGCCAGGGCTGCAGCGGGACCCTGGGAGGCTTTAAAAACCCGACCGGCCTACTCAGGACCCGTAGGGGAGCGCCACGGAAGGCTCCGAGGGCGCTCTGTGAGCGCTCCCCGAGCCCGCGGGGCTCTGAGGGGCTCGGGGGCTCCGGGCGAGGCCGCGGCGCGGGAGCCGCCCCCCTCAGCGCGGCGGGGCGAGCCGCGGGGCTCTCCCGCGCCCCG